ATGGCCAATCTGGGCGGCAGGGGGATGGAGAGGGAGAGCAATGAATGGGATATCTTGATAGAGCCATTATGGGCAAGAGAGAAACCAGGTGCTAGAGAAATTGCCAGGATTCCACAAGGATGACCCCAACCCCAAGACTCCTAGCAACAGTGGAGAGGGTGCCTGAACTGGCCTTCCTCTGTAATCAGATTGGTGACTACCCTGTCATCATAGAATCTACATTCAGTAACTGATGGAAGCAGATGCAGTGATCCACAGCCAAGCACCAGGCCATGTTCCTGGAGAACAGTTGAAGAGAGGGAGAAGGGATCATAGGAGCAAGGGGGGCTCAAGATCATGATGGGGGAAACCTTACAGACAGCTGACCTGAGCTAGGGGAAGCTCATAGACTCTGGATTGACGGCTGGGGAACCTGCATGGGACTGAACTAGGCCCTCTGAATGTGGGTTGTTTTTCATTTTAACAAAATAAAATATAATATAAAACAAAAAAATCGCATGTAGACTGGACAAGTCAAATCAACAGAAGGAAAAGAGCCCAAGAGAAGGGACAAGAATCAAAGACCCCCTCATTCACACACTCGGGAGACTGATGAAAACACTAAGCTGAAAGCCATCATAAATATGCGGAGGACCTGGTACAAACCTCCGCAGGCCCTGTGCATGCAGCTTCAGTCTCTGTAAGTTCATGGGAGTATCTTTCTTTTTTTTTTTTTAATTTTTTTTAAAGATTTATTTATTTATTATGTATATTATGTATGTATATAGAAGAGGGCACCAGATCTCATTACAGATGGTTGTGAGCCACCATGTGGTTGCTGGGAATTGAACTCAGGACCTCTGGAAGAGCAGTCAGTGCTCTTAACCGCTGAGCCATCTCTCCAGCCCCTCTTTCTTTTTTAATTAGTATTTTAATTTATTTTTGGAATTTTCACAGATGTGAAAAATTCAATGTGTTTGGGTCTTATCCACCTCTCCAATAGCTCTCTCAAACTCCCCAGGGTCTCTGCCATCTTATGGTTTATCTCACTCCAGACTTCACGTCTTTTGCAGGGGTGAGGGGAAGGTGGGCTTTTTTGTTTTGAGACAGTGTCTCATTATGTGGCCCTGGCTAGACTGACGCACACTATGTAGACCAGGGCAGCCGAAAACTCACAAAGATCTGCCTGCCTCTGACTCCCAGCATACCAAGAGTGAAGGTATGGGCCACTGTGTCCTGCTGTGTCCTCTTTTTAAATCATTACTGTTGTTGTTGTTAAAGCTCTCTGAAGCTAATTAGTGCTGACTGTATGTGCATGGGTATGGGACCGTTGAGCCTGACCCTGTGTTCGGGCAGAGACACTGACAAATAGCACCTCACGGTGATTCAGTGTTCTCCTGCTCCGTGTGCATGAATACACTCGTGTGTGTGTGTGTGTGTGTGTGTGTGTGTGTGTGTGTGTGTGTGTGTGTAAGTACGTAGAACAGCTCTGCCCACTCTCAGCCTCCCCTCCCCTTTGACTCCTCCTTCCTCTTCCATCCCTTGATCAACACACTCCAGTAATAAACACCGACTCAAGTTCAGTCATCAGTGAATATGTTCAGGGCATCGTGTGGGAGGTGGCAGCTGGGCTGAGGGTTTGTGCTGCTGGCTACACACACAGTGACACATCAATCCCTGGTGGTACACACTTGAGTATGCAGTCTTGTTCAACTACACATATATTTTAAAGAAAATGGAATCATAAGCAGCCTTTGTAACCCTTATTTCCCCACTCATCTCTGAACAGCTATAAAGACAGAATTTGGGTCCTTACAGGCTGTGTGTCCAAGATCCACACAGGTTGTAGATGCTCCATCTTCAAAAACACCCATGAGGCACCCCATGAGGCCTGATGCAGAGAAATGGCTTGGTTTTCAGCTGCATGAGTACAACCCAGTCAGAGTCAGCAGGGGATCCAAGGAAGCCTTTAGGGTTTCACTGGGCTCATTACACAAGTGGGGGTGTCGAGGCCACTGGACAATTACAGTGCTGTTCATTAAGTAATCTGGGCTGTGGAAGGGTCTGTAGAAACAGCTAAGGGGCTCTAACTCTGTCTCTGGAAACAACCAGGTGATTGCAACTTGGGCTCTGGAGCTTACTGCAACATAGTCTTTCCAAGGACTGATACTACCACCTTCCCAATGCAACTCCTAGATGGGGAACGGGGGCCTCCAGGGTCCAGTTTCTGCCTGGAGCAGAACTGGCTGGTTAGCTTTCCACGCCAAGGTGATCCCAAAAGGAGCCCTTGAACGGCTGCTTGGGGCTTTTCCAACAGTGACTGCGCATGTCTCCAGGGGTGCCCAGGCTCAGCGTCTGATGATGGCTGCATAGGTGCTGGATTCAGTCACGGCGTCTGTGCTCTGTGGGGTCACAGCTCCAACTGTCCTCTGTGTGAGGGCGTGATGGTCCAGCTGGGCATATGTCACCTCCTGGAGGCCTCCTGAAGCAGGGGTCTGAAAGAGAGGCCCGAGAGCGTTAGGGTGGGGGCGGGGGCAGGGTGCTGAGGAGTGGGAAGCTACCTGTAACGACTCTATGGGTTATAGTCATGGTGTTCGAGTTGGATTACAATACTCAGAGACATGGCAGAAGTAGTTTCTGTCCTCTTGTCTTGGACGCTCTCTCGGGGGAAAGCCAGCTGCTGTGGAGGGCTCTCCTGTCTGCCACCATGAGAATGTGTCCCTCTAACAAGGCCTTGAGTGACAGCATCTGTAGTCAGTACTTTCAGAATTCTTCGGCTCCATGGTTTCTTACCCAAGAGACTGAAGCCATGCTAAGCTGCTAAATTTGGGGGCGTTTTCTTAGTTAGCGCTAGATGACGAATACAACAAGACCTACCCAGGTTTCTTTCCTTCTCTTCTCTGGAAGCCTGTCATCCGTGACTATGTCTATGAAAAAGAAGACACAGGATAAGTTCTCTTTGGTGGACACTAGAAGACAATATAACCTCATTATATCCCATCTCACCTAGAACCCTCTACAGTGTTTTCCTACAAAATCCTTGATATTCTCCTTGCCTTTTGCTTCCCAGTGGACTGGGTAACCCTTCCTGGCTACTCACAATCCTTACCTGGTGTTCTCTCCAGGCCATTAGTAGCAAGGCTGAGCCGAAGGGAAAAGGAGAGATGAACATTAGAGACCAATTGAAGGCAAAGGACTGGGCACGGGTATAGGAGTCGTTCCAGAAATCTCACCTCTCTTGTGGCCTCTGCTGCTGGCTCTTGCTGTTTGGGAGCCCTAAGAATAGTTAGTAGTCCACATTTAGGAGGGAGGTCTTGTTCCAGGTACTCCCCACAGCCCAACAAAGCCAGCTCTCACCACAGATACCTACCCTGCTTTTTCTGACGGTGGCTGTGGAAGCAGAAGAGAAGGAGGAGGAGAAGACAAAGGAGGAAGACCACAGAGACCCCAACGAGAATATAAATGTCCTTTGTCTTCAGCCAAGACATGCCTAGGAAAGATGGTAACCAGGTTATCAGCATCATGCATCTTTTTGGGGGGTACCCACTACATAGCACCCATATGCTGGATGGTGTTCATGAATGTGTGAGTATATAAAATTTCAGGTGCAACAGTAGCCTCAAAACATTTCGACATTATCCTCATATTACCCATCAGGAGTGTTGACGTTCTTTGTGCCCTGGGAAACTCTAGCCACTGGCAGAGTCATCTAATGACTCAGCAGTCATATGTAGCTAATGACATCCACTCTGGTTCCCACATGACTTGAAGTCATTAAGGACAGCATTACCTACCACACTCTGTAGAGCTTTGCAGAGACTGACAACCAACAAGAAAAGAAGCAACGTTCCCTCCACAAACCCCCACTTGGGCTCCCACTGAGGTCAAGTAACCCCCTCTCTATGTGTTCCTCAGGGTAGGCCCTGACAGGAAGGAACTCAGTCCCAATGTTGTCTTGTTGCCTGGTGCCCTGCAGACAGCATCCGGTGCCCATCCCATCCTCTCCTATAACATTCACCCTTCTCCACCCATGCACTCACTGTACCACCGCACAAGCAACCACACAAGGTGGGGCCCACCTGTCCCCTCTTCCTGGATGGTGGCCACTCCCCTCCCTTGCTCCTGAGGCAGAAGCTTCAATGTCCTTTAAAGAAAGTCAGACAACGTCCCTTTAGAGGCTCTTCCCTCAACACCTTGCCCATGTCCAACTCAAGGCCCTACCTGCTATTCTGTGCTTTCCATGTATCTTATTGCAACTTAATTATACATGTCATATGCACGCACATGATATATTTATAATTATATATTACATATGCAAACGGAGTCACATGTGCTGTGTCATGATGTTATAATTAACTATGGACCTTTGGTAAGATTGTAACTGAGCTGAAAAGTTTCTGTGCCCTTGTGGCATTGTGCCTACCCTTAAGTTTTGGTTGCCTACAGCATTCAGAATAACGTGTGCAGGACTGCAGTCTAGAAGTCGCTTGCTCTATATGCCATATGGCCAGGTGTACAGAGCACTTTGCCTTGTAAGCTGGTTTAAATAGCATCCTCTTCGCACAATGACACAATGGGCTACCAATGATGCATTTCTCAGAACACAGGAGTCACATGAGCGCAGGGCCTATGGGCATATGTCTCAGAACAAAGGACCATTCTTAATTAACACATGGCTGTATATTCACATGTAATGTAAATAAGCACAGCTAAGGTGCTCTGGATACCCATCAATGAGTAAAGCTCTTGGTGTGCAAGAGTGAGGACTAGAGTTTGGATCCTCAGAACCCACAGCAAAAGCTAAACGACCATGACACCCAGCCTGTAATCCCAGTGCACAGGAGACAGAGACAGGGAACCCCCTGAGCAATCTGGCTAGCCAGACTAACTGAAACAGTGAACCCTGGGGTCAGGCAGAGATTGTACCTCAATTGGAAGGTGGAGAACACCTCAGTAAGACATTCAGCATCAATCATGGACCTACACACACACACATGCATGCATGTGAGCCTGCACCCACCTGAGTGTCGACACATGAGAACACGCACGCAGTACACAACACATATCTCTATACAAGAAAGCCAAAAAGCAAATATGAAATAAAATAACATATTAACTTCTATCACATAAATTAGTATATAAACAACTTACATATGTTATCTTTCAAACATATAAATTATACATTGCTATCCTAACAAATGTGTACCTGTGTGTGTTATAGGAACAAATGGTATCTGTTAAGCTATGTATTCCAAATATGAAATAGCATGTGATACTATTTAAAATGGAATAGCATGCATTATATTTATGTGTAAAGATACATTATATTGTTACATCAATGATACTGTTTATTTTAATTATAAGATAATTATATAATTCAGCATAAATTTAGTTTTAGATCTGAAATTTTAATGTATTTCTGTGATTCATCCTAATTATCTCTCCATTTCTCTTCCCCCATCCTGAGTGTCCAGTTTGATGCACCTTTGGACCGGTACATTTAAAATGAGAGGATATTTGTTTAAAAAGTCAAAAACAGGTCGGGCAGTGGTAGCGCACACCTTTAATCCCAGCACTTGTGAGGCAGGGGCAGGAGGATCTCTGTGAGTTCGAGGCCAGCCTGGTCTACAGAGTGAGTTCCAGGACAGGCGCCAAAGCTACACAGAGAAACCCTGTCTCGAAAAACCTGCCTGAACTCGGAGCTTAGCCTCACAGTAACACAGCTTAGCTCAAATAGTCCACGGATGACTCGGGACCACACCTCCTCCCCACAGGGTTGTGGCTATGGCGCCCAGGGAGCAAGCAGCATATCCCGATAGCGTGAGACACAAGTAGTGAAAAAAAGCTCATTCCACATCCCTCAGCCTCCCAGACTAGCTACCTTTCACAGGTCACACCCTTCCCGTGGCACTTTCCTCTCAGGGACCCTTCCATCTTTGGCACAGACACTGAAAAAGTACCCTTTGCTGTCATAGAGCCTGAGCTAGCCTGGAGAGACCTAATCTGCTCCGCCACAGAGCAATGTGTGTAATGAGGCTCAGACCACAAGAGGGCAGCGTAGAGCTGCGCAAAAATGAGGTCTGAGTCGTCTGGCTGGGACGGCTTCTGTCCTGGAGTCTTCCCAACTTGGTATCCTTGACGAAGCACGTCAATTTTCTCCGTATTTAAAATAGCAGGGTAGCTGGTCATGGCGGCGTACGCCTTTAATCCCAGGACTCAGGAAGCAAAGGCAGGAGAATCTCTGTAAATTTGAGTTCAGCCTGGTTTATGTAACAAGTTCCAGGACAGCCAGGATTGCATAGAGAGACCCCGTCTCAAAATAAAACAACAACAACAACAAAAAATAGTATCAATGACATCCTGATGCCTGGATCCAAAGCTAAGCAGCGGACTGGTCAGGACATCAACTCAGCATATAACCCTTAATAAACTACAGCATCAGCAATGAGGCAGGGTGAAGGATTGAGAGCTTATGAGGAAAGCTGTGTAGACCTCTTCTCCATCCTAAGTATTGCTCCAAAAGGGGTGATTTGCACATCACTCAGCCACAGATCATGAGAGAGACCTGAAATGACTGGGCAGAGAAAACAAGAAACATGGCGGAGCCTCTCCTAAATCCCTGCTGTTGGATATTGGTCCTTCCTTCTGTTCCTCCCTCACTTGCTCTGCTGGGCCTCACAGAATAAGCACTGAGCAGCTCCCAGGAAGAGGTGGGAAGACATGGAAGTGGACTAGAGCTTCTTTCTGTACCCTGACTCTAGGACATTCTGGGGCCTGACCACATGCAGGCCATTCCATATGAAAGCACACTCAAAAGAAGAGTCCCACCAGCCCTCCCTGGACCATATGACTGGCCCAGTGAGAGGGTATCAAGCCAGAGGAGATATATTTCTGCAGTTGCCACAGGCCCAGACACAGTGGAAGGACAGGATAAATCACCATGCCCAGTGAAAAAATATGCATCACCTTGAGAGATCTATACCCACCATTGCTGGAGTTCAGTCCCCACCCAATAATCAGGAAAAACTCAGTGTCCTACCCCCTAGACTCTCATGCCATCCTGGCCATTCATGGTGTCTGGCAAGACTAAAGCTCCAGAAATCTGGGGTCTAAGGGCAGAGGGGACCTGTGCTGAGGGAGGTGAGAGAAAGGAGTCTTGGGTTTAAGAAAAAGCAGGGGACGTTGAGGCAGGGGAGAGCAGCTAAAACTATAGTCCAGGCACCTGGGAACAAACCTGGAGTCACTGTTGGACCTGGGTCAGGAGCCTGGGTGACATCTTCTCTGGTTACCTTCAGCTCCAGAGTCTCACTGCGTGGGGACCAATCACGCCCTTTTAAATAGAGGCACTGATAGGCTCCAGCAGTGCTTTCATTCACTGGGTCAAGGCGGAATCTAGCCTCTGTCATTGAAGGCTGTGTGTTCTTCTTCTCCATGACACTCTGGCTTCCCTTCTCCAGGCGGAATGTATCATACCCACCAGGGTTTGAGCACACAAAGGTTACACAACCCCCTTGGGAGATCACAAGGCCTGGATCAGCTGAGATGGAAGGCTTTGACAGAGATCCTAGGAGAGAGCAGAGCAGGAATCTCAATATACACGGTGTCAGGACATTGCCACAACACAAAACCAATTTATGTGCACTATTCTATATTCTTACCAAATTTGGAGTTCTCTAGACATGACAGAAGTGCAGCTCTATAACATTCTCACTTTCTGCACATGTTTGAATCCCCATCACATGACAATAAGAAACCTAAGCCTGAGCTCATATTGGGTCTGGCAAAGATCCATCCAAGGAAATCTCAGAACATCTCAGGCTGGATAAATCTACTCCAGAGCCTGCTGCCTCCCTGCTCATTGAAGGGACCTCTACATTTTCTACCTATATCTCCACCTTCTTTCCAGTCTGTTATTGGGGCTTTAAAAGCCCACCTGCTTCAAACTGTCTGAATGTAGGGGCACCCCCCAAAAAGATTCACAGATATATGCTTACATCAAGAGACAAATTTAAAATGCTCACACTTAGTGTGTTCAAGGTGATGTCTTGGTGTATCTCATGGAACACCTGGATCAAGCTAATCAATGTGGATGAACTCACAAATGTACCCTTTTTGTGAGGATAATCTTCATATTCCCCTCGTTAGCAATTTCCAAGCTTACAGCTGCATAGTTGCTAGGAATGTTGCATAATTGACCTCCTGCCCTTATCCATGTATACATGAGTTTTTGTGCCCTTAGATCAACATTTCCTAATCTCTTCTCCCTTCACTCATTTTTTTAACTATTTTTAATATCTTATTCATCTTTTAAGGATGCCTTCCATGTTTCCATGGTTTCACTTACACAAGATACACAATTTCTTCAATTTGAAGGTAAAGTATGGGAGGAAAGACTGATTTGAGAGAATAATTGTTCAATACTGTGGCAAATAGACTGTGATGAATGTGATGAGTGAGCACAGGAATCTCAAGGGACAGGTGAGATCAGAGGTGTACTCCCTGAGATGACAAGGAAGAGCTATTTGCACCAAGACCTGAGAGACAGGAGTAAACTCTCTGTACCTAGCAGACAGGGACATGGAGAATCAAACATTGACAAAATTGTGTAAAGTGCCACTCAGAGGACACAGACCCTCTGCTACAGAAGAAGTGATTCAAGAGATGAGCTGGGGGGTATGCCAAGGATGATTAATACAAAGCTTCATGTCCATCAGAGTCACTGAGATCTGAATTTAAGGGCTGTCCAAAAAGGGAAATGTCAGGATAAACCATATGCTAATTGGCTTGATTTTGTCATTCTCCAATATCTATTTATTTCAAATATGATGTCAGACATGATAAACACATGTAATTTTTTTTAAAGATTTATTTATTATGTATACAGGAGAGGGTGCCAGAACTCATTACAGATGGTTGTGAGCCACCATGTGGGTGCTGGGAATTGAACTCAGGTTCTCTGGAAGAGCAGTCAGTGCTCTTAACCTCTGAGCCATCTCTCCAGCCCCCAACACATGTAATTTTTGTAATTTTAAAAATTAAATTAAAATTTATCCTGTGAGATAACCCAAAGTGTGTGTGTTGGGAGGGCGGCTGGAATGTTAAGGAAAATGAAAGAAAGTTGAAGGACCCAGAGATAAGCCAATCTGATAGGACAAGGGGATCAGAATGTAGCTGGGGTATGTCGGAGTCACCAGCTCACAGAGACACAGTGGTCTGATTCTTTGTCAAAACAAACTATGGAGCCTGAGCCACATCCCACATCCAGGCCCAGCCTGACTTGCTCATCCACTGTCCAACCTCTGACTAGTAAATGTGGCTCTCAGCCCTCGTCAAAGATGCTTCCTTTTTACAGCACTCAGAGACCATTACAGCAAGCCTCAACTGGTCAAAGTGCAGCAAACACCTGATAATGGGGGCCCATCCCCGATGGATACATCTGCAACACATCCCCAAACCTAAGTCTCAGGGAACATCAGAGAAGAGGGAACAGCAAGACTGTAAAACCAGTAAAAGACTGTAAAAAGAGTAGACCAGGAAGTCTACTGTGAAAGAGTATCTTCCTGATATGAGTGGGGAGCTCCACCTGTGATACCTCAACCATATGGCTGCCTGAACATGTCCTGAAAAATGACAACACCAGATGACATCCAAGCTTGGATGAGGGAGATCTCACAGGGCCCCAATGCCTCTATGAGGAGCAACAAGTATTTAATGACTGCTGAGAGAGGGGGAATCAGTCTTCCCAGGGATAAGCTCCTTAATACCAGCTCTGAAAGCATATGCACATAAGCAACACTAAACACTACACAGCAAGCTTTATTTATTTGTTTGAATATATAATAATAATAGCAATAATAATAATAAAGATACCTTGCATTTGGGAGGGATCATGGAAATCAGGGACATAGAAAGGGTTGGAGGGAGTATAGAGAGGGGAGAAATGATGTAGTTATATTTTAATTTAAAAAAATTTTTTTAAATTAAGAAGAGAGGTGGTGGATGATTCTCGGGGCCAGAAAAGACTCTGTTCAGAGAAACATGTGAAGCCTCAGAGATAAAATAAATAAAAGCTTCTGGATTAAATTTTCAAATTGTAGAAAGTAGAAGGATAATATTTGTGCTTCTGCATGGTAAGGAACCATCTCCATGATGTCAGGAAGGTTGGGAGCCTTTGGAGGTATAGACAAGCAGAGCAGACATAAGGGAAGGAACCAATGAGTGGGGAGGGAAGGAGCCTAGAAAGAAGTTAGCAGAAATTTATGCAAAAGAGGAGAAAGACTTGAGGCTGAGGGTGGTGGTGCATGCATCTAATCCCAACACTTAGAAGGCAGAAACAGGCATATCTCTGCGTGTTCTATGCCAGGCTGGTCTACAGAGTGAGTTTCAGGCCATGCATGGGCACATAGTGAGAATCTGTCTCAAAACAAACCAATTAAGCTAACTAACAGACTTACGAATTCAGTGGGAGGAAACAGCAGGACCTGGTAACACATGGTACATAGGAAGATGGGGAGGGGAGATCAAGTGTGACTTCTCATGATCTGCTTTTGATGACTGTCAACTCCTTGCTAAGGGGATCCTAAGAGAGGTTTGGGTTATGGGGAGAAATCTCTCAGCTGTAGGGCTTGGTCATACTGAATGAAACTGTCTTTACAGACAGCCTGTCAGAGAGATATCTCATTTCCATGTTCTTCTCAGCACGATTCCGAGTAGAGAAGAGATAGAATCAATGCAACTGTCAGTCAGTAGATGAACAGATAAAGAGAATGTGGTGCACAGACACGTTAGAATCCTGGTCATCCTTCACAAAGGAAATGCTGCTGTTGGTGGCAACCAGAATGAATCTGGGGGCGTTAAATGAAATATGCTAATCACAGAATAACAACTACCACAGGATCTCACTTATTTATGGACTGCAAAGACATTTACCTCAGAGATGATCAGAATGAGAAAAGAATGGTTGGCTACCTGAGGCTAGGGAGAGGGTAGACGGAGACAGAGAAGATGTTCATCAAAGATATGAAATTCCATTTAGACAGGAGAAATGCATTATTCGAGATCTATCATGCATGATAGTTTCTTTAAAACTTCCAATAGTGATAGATATGTAACATTCTCACCAATAAAAAATGATGAATGTCAAAGGTGATGGACACGCGACTTAGCCTAACTTAGTCATAACATAGTGTAAACACATATCAAAACAGCAAGTTGCATCCCATAAATATATAATGGTTGTTGTTTGTCAATTAAAAACATTTTAAACCAGAAAACAAAGGAGAGAGGTGAAGGTTGAATATTTGATGTTTATGATTACAGGAAATATTCAAGGGTCTCCCTCCAGGCCTTCCAAGTGCACATGATCCTCTCCAAAGCTTCCCATAGGTACAGAAGTAAACAAAGACATGACTCACCTTCCTTAGTGGTGATTGTCTGCCCCAGGCACAGCACTGAAAGAGAAGACCCTGTGAGAAAGACACTAATCACATGGTTTGCTTAGAGATGAGAATCTAGGAAGGACTAGATGGATGTAGATGGGGACATGCAGCCTCCCAGGACTACCCATCCATCCATCCTCCGCATTAATGTCATAGTATAATCCTTCTTCTTGCTCTGAAAGAACTCTTAAGACATCCCCAAGGCGGAGACACAGACTTGAAATCCCAGCTACTCAACCAAGTCACATGTTCCAGCATTACTTGGGCTACAAAGTGAGTTCATCTCAGTGCGACCATGTCTCAAAACTGAAAGTAAAATAGGTTTGTTCAGAGCCTAGCCCAATCATCATCGGAGAGGCTTCCCTAGCAGGTGACAGGAGCAAATTCAGAGACCCACTGCCAAACATTAGGTGGAGCCCGGAGAACACTGAGAGAGAGGGAGAGGAAGGACTGTAGGAGCCAGAGGGGTCGAGGTCATCAGGAGAATGTGGCCCACACAATCAGCTAAGCAGAGCTCATAGGGGCTCACAGCGACTGAGGCAGCAATCACAGAACCTGCATGAGCCTGCACTAAGGCCTCTGAATAAAAGTCATGGTTGTTTATCTTGGGGGTTTTGTGGGGCTCTGAAGAGTGGGAGTTGGTGTATCTCTGATTTTTTTTTTTTTTTTTTGCCTGTGCTTGGGACTCTTTCCTCCTACTGCATTGCCTCGTCCAGCCTTGATATGAGGGTTTGTTCCTAGTCTTATTGAATCTTGTTATGCCATGTCCAGTTGATATGCCTGTGAGGCTTGCTCTTTTCTGACGGGACACTGGAGGAACAGAGGATCTTGGGTGGGGAACTGGAGGAATGGAGGGAAGGGGAACTGGTATTGGGATGTATTGTATGAAAGAAGCATAAATAAAAAGAAAACAATGGAAAAAAGTAAAATGAGGGCTGGGATGGAGGGGAAGGAGTTCACAAGGTCCATACTCCTAGCTGAGGAGCTATTGACAGTTGACAGCTTCTGGGGAAGGGAGAGTCTGTTTTCTCTAAGGCTGTGGCCTATGCTAGGCTGACCAGGCTCCAGCAGATGGCCCACATCCTTGAGTATATGGACAGCCCAAATCATATTCACTGGATTATTTTTTTAAAAGGATTCACAAAGCAGAAAGGGGGAGGGGATGGTATGGAATTACAGGAAGAATGGGGATGAATATGATCAAAACATATTGCATGCATCTAAGAAATACTCAAAAAATATTTTAAATATATCTAATAACAAAAATGTGTTTATCATTGTTGCCAATGGATCAATGCATCTCCCACGCCTCATCTGAGAAGCTTCTATTTGCAGTAGATGGAGATTAACACAGACACCCACAACTGATCGAGGTCACAGAATAAGAGACTGCAGAATGCTCGGCCTTAAAGGGAACATACATACCATTCATCTCCTCCTCCCAAGACTCAGGGATCGTTTTGGAAGAGGGCGTGGGAAGAGCATAAGAGCCAGAGGCAGTAGATGATTTCAGGGACTACAGGGTATTCTGAACACAGAGGGCAGCTGCACACATGAACACAAAGCAGGGGTGACAGCATACACAAGACCTGTGCAAGCCCAAGAACAAAGACAAAATCCCAGAACTGGAAGGAAATTTAGGCACATACTCCCTGCTTTAGCCTTGGAGCGAATGGTCATTACTGCCTGCTGGGAGGAGAGTCGATTTTAAGAGGGTAGACCCTGGAACCAGGTGTAGCGAAGCACACCTTTAATGCCAGAATTTAGGAGGCAGAGGCAGGTGGGTCTCTGTGAGTTGGAGATCCAGCCTGGTCTCCACAGTGAGTTCCACAAGAGCCAGTGCTACATAGTAAGACACTGACTCTGAATTAACTAATAAAATAAAATAAAGTGTAGCTCCTGTTAATTCAACCATTCTCCAGCGCTAGACCACACACAAGAATGTTTGAGCAGCACAAATTGATTTTAAAGGGCTTTTTAAAAATAGACGCAAAAGAGCAGGGCAATGGTGGCCCTCGCCTATAATCCCAGCACTCAGGAGGCACAGGCGGATGCATCTCTGTGAGTTCGTCTGGCCAGCCTGGTCAGCAAAGAGAATTCCAGGACAGCTGGGACTGTTACACAGAGAAACCTTGTCTCAAAAATAAATAAATAAATAAATAAATAAATAAATAAATAAATAAATAAATAAATAAATAATAAAAGTAAAAAAAAATAAAAATGGACACAATGTTGAGTGGGTAGAGAAGGGGGGTGGATCTTGGAAAAGTTGGGTGTGAGTAATATGAGAAACTCAAAAAAATGAATAAAAACTTTTTAGAAATAAAAGAATTTCTGAACAAGGGTATTTAATAATATGTAACCACTGTGATATTAAAAAATAAAAAGAAGACGTGAATTCAAGGGCTACAGTTTTGTGGCAGCGTGCTTACCTAGCATGCATTAGGCCCTGAGTTCAACCTCGGACACTGAGAAAAACAAATGTCCCTAGGTCATCGTCCCTTCCAAACAGGCTCTTCCTAACTCCTTTTAAAGCTGAATTTGGCCGCATGCCCTATTCCTGTTCCTATCAATAAGTCCACAGAAGTATCTTCCAAGTAGAGGATGGGATGAAGAGACTTTCTTCCCAGGGGACTCCAGAATCTGCCTGGCTGGTTTCAGGCCTGAGTAGGGAGTAGACTCCCTTCCTCAAATCACCTCCCTCATCCCTCCATTTCTCCCAGGACTCACCGAGGGCCAGCACCATGGCAGGATGGGGTGACATGACTCAGGCTCTGCAGTCTGACCAGGTCTGGAGCTGAAGCCCTGCAGTGGACACAAGGGGCAGGATGTGCGGACTGGCGCTCATCACAAGGTTTCTATATCAGTTTCCTCACACGAAGAGGAAGAGGTTTCTCCCCTGCGCTTTCCACTCTTTCCCCTGGTGACTCTGTGAGAAGGCGTCAGATTCTGAAAAAAATTGGTTAGGTCCCTGAGTTCAGGTGCAAGCGAGCTCATCCCTCGAAATGTTTGTCTTGCTGTAAATATGCAAGACATAGAAGTATAAAATTTTACATGTCAGTCCTTGTTGTGGAAACTAATGGACATCGATCTTTGGACAAGGCATTTCAACACCCAAAGCTCATATTTCCTAAAGTTGAAAATGAGAATCATAAAGTCCCCCCTAAATGTTTGATGTTATGATCTTTGTAAGATCCCAAGCAGATATTTCACACATTATATGTGTGCTGCTTTAGGTAATGGTTTTTATTAAATAATATTGATTTGTGTGTGTGTGTGTGTGTGTGTGTGTGTGTGTGTGTGTGTGTGTCACAGTGTGTGTAACAGTCACAGGACAACTTGCCTAAGTTGGTTCTTTCCTTTCATTGTGTAGGTCCTAGGGATCTAACCCAGGTTTTCAGGCATCTTTACCCACTGAGCCATCTCACTGACCCAGACAACAATTTGTTTTGGTTTTTTTGAGAGTTTCTCTGTGTTGTTTTGGTGCCTGTCCTGGATCTCACTCTGAAGAACTCACAGAGATCCACCTGGCTCTGCCTCCTAAGTGCTGGGATTAAAGGCGTGTGCCACCACAGCCCAGTCCCAGACAATATTTTTAAGATTTATTTTTATTCTATGTGCATTGGTGTCTCACCTGTCTGTGTGTCTGTGTGAGGGTCTCGGGTCTCCTGGAACTGGAGTTACCGACAGTTGTGAGCTGCCATGTGGATGTTGGGAATTGAACCTGGGTCTCCTAGAAGAGCAGCTGAGCCATCTATCCAGCCCCAGATCATATTTTTAAAGATAACAAATGTTATCAGAAGTGGTGAAAGTGGATCTTTATCATACTGTTAACAGGAACCCATGACCCCAACTGTTATGAGGAAAAGCTGCCTCTGAACGAATGAGTGAGTCAGAGTCATTTTGGGGCATCTGAGGCCCTTCTTCCATGCCACTAGTGGAAAAAAAGGGTAAATCAGAGGGAAGAAAGCTCTTCCTCTTTGGAAACAGCATGAAGATTTCACAAAATAAGAAATTAAAAATAGAACCCAAGTAAGGGGATGAAATAAATGAGAAGTCAGCACTCATGTAATCATTGCAACACTGTTCACAAGAGTTATGATGAAGAAATAATCCCAAAGAATGGGTGAAATGTGGTGCATATACACAGTGGAATGGAGAAGATAATGATGGTGCCGTATGAAAAAAATCCTATGGCTGGACCTTCAAAAATCCTACGGCTTGGCCCAGTGAAACAAACAACCTCAGAAAGGCAGGCACTGCATTGTTCCCCTCATATGAGGTACGTCATATTCAAGCTGGACATGCTGATCCATGCTTGCAGTGCCTGCACATGGGAGGATGAGGCAGGAGGATCGCCATGAGTGCAAGGCCAGTCGACACTACATAGTGAATTCTAAGCCAGCCTGCGCTATATGGCAAGACTCTGTCTCAAAAACTGTAAAATAGTTAAAGAAGTCAAATTCGTAAAAAGCAAAGTTTGGAATGCTGTCTACCAGAAGGAAAAATATGGGAAAGTTATTTATCAATAGACAAAATTTTTAGTCAATCAATAAGAATAACTCTAAGACAACATAATGCCTATAGTCAACAATACAGAACTGCACAGTAAAAATGTTAAGAGAACAGATTTTATCCCTTTCTCTGTCTTAACTAGGTTTTCTATTGCTGTGATAAAACTCCATGAGCAGAAGTAACTTGTGGAGGAAAGGGTTGATTTCATCTGAGACTTCCAGGTAACACTATCACTAAGGGAAGTCAGGGCAGGAACTCAAGGCAGGAGCCCAGAGGCAGGAACTGAAGCAAGCCTGTGGAGGAATGCCTCTTACTGGCTTTCTCCCCATGGCTTGCTCAGTCTTCTTTTTTATAAAACTCAGAACCACCATACCAGGGGATGTACCACCCACAGTCCACCCACATTCATCAATAATCAAAAAATGCCTCAGAGCTTTATCCACAGGGCAACCTGATGAGTGCATTTTTTCTTTCTTCCTTTCTTTCCTCTTTCCTTCCTTTCTTTTCTCCTTCCTTCCTTCTTTTTTTCTTCCTTTCTTCCTTCCTTCCTTCCTTCCTTTCTTCCTTCCTTCCTTCCTTTCTTTCTTTCTTTCTTTCTTTCTTTCTTTCTTTCTTTCTTTCTTTCTTTCTTTCTTTTTCTTTGGTTTTTCAAGACAGGGTTTCTCTGTGTAGTTTTGGTGCCTATCCTGGATCTCACTCTGTAAACCAGGCTGGACTCGAACTCACAGAGATCTGCCTGGCTCTGCCTCCTGAGTGTTGGGATTAAAGGCGTGCACCACCACCTCCTAGGAGGTGCATTTTCTTTTTTTAAATATTTTTATGTTATAATTAATTTAATTTTACATATCAGCCACGGATTCCCCTGTCCTCCCTCCTCCACCCACTCCCAGCCTTCTCCCCCAGTTCACCCCCCCCCCATTCCCACCTCCTCCAAGGCAAGGTCTTCCCTGGGGAGTCAGCCCAGCCTGGTAGATTCAGTTGAGGCAGGTCCAGTCCCGTCCTCCTTGCACCAAGGCTGAGCAAAGTGTCCCTGCATAGGCCCCAGGTTCCAAAAAGCCTGCTCATGCACCAAGGACAGGTCCCGGTCCCACTGCCTGGGGCCTCCTAAATCATTCAAGCTAATCAACTGTCTCACTTATCCGGAGGGCCTGGTCCAGTTCCATGGGGGCTTCTCAGCTATTGGTCCACAGTTCATGTGTTTCCTCTAGTTTAGCTATTTGTCCCTGTGCTTTTTCCAACCATGGTCTCGATATCTCTTGCTCATATAGTCCCTCCTCTCTCTCATCGATTAGACTCCTCTTGCCAAATTACTGTGGCTTGTGTCAAGTTGACCAAACACTAGCCAGCTCCCTCTCCCTCTCCCTCTCCCTCTCCCTCTCCCTCTCCCTCTC